AAGGTGCTGCATTTACGTAGTACTTTTACATGCACTAATTTGAACCTTAGGACAATTATGTGAATGAGGCAGGGCAGAGGGTAGTAACCCTTTTTATAGATGAAGAAGCTGAGGCCAAGATAGATGAAGTGATTCACCCTCAGTTACTTGAGGTGATAATTCTTGGACTGTTAGAACCCAGATTTTCTGACTCCTTTGTCTAAACAGTAAGAATCTGGTACTGGCCTCCTGAAAGGGTCCCACAGAGTGTTTTTATTTAGAATTTATTTTGGATATAGTTTTAATAAATTTTGTTATTTGGTTTCTAACTTGTTGACAATGAAAATTGTCAATTTAGAACTACTCATTAGTGCTGGTCAGATTGTCAGCAGCAATGAATGATAGACACCAGCGAAGGATGATTAAGAAAAAGTATGGAGCAAACCTAAACCAGAACGTGCTGGGCTTTGGGGCCACTTTGTCAAAGAGAGGAAAGCCCTGTGCATTTTAGTGGATTCCAGGTATTCACTTTACAACATCGTATAATAATTGCTTTAGAAAGAATTCTTTTGGAAAAATTTACCTGAAGTAAATTTCATTAAAAATGTTTGCTTGCATACAAATGTCGAATCACTATATTATACACCTGAAACTAACATAATATTGTATGTCAACTATACGTCAATTAAAAAAAAGTTTGCCTGCTACATTTGGAAAGTTAACAGCTATTTAGTTAATTCTTTATGATCTTGGGTAAATGAAGCATTGCTGTGTTAACCTCTTATAAGTCTAAGATTTATACTGGTCTAATAATTTTAATATGATCCCACAGTATACTGCTTATCAATCAGTCAACTTTGATCTGATTTCATTGAAATGCATCACTCTAAATTATTTACAACAGCTTTTGTTTCTGACTCTTTTAAGTATCAGAGTCACTGTCTCTAGTACAGAAATAATATCTAGCCCTGACTGTGACAAAGGGCAGAGAGGCAGCACTTGAAGGTACTGATCGGTAGAGGGGGAGTTAGGAGGTAATAATACACTTGGGATGACCGTTGAGACCTAAAAATCTGAAGCAAGCAGACAGGAACCTTCTACAAGGGTAAGAAAAACAAAAACTTGTGATCTCTCATAGGCAGGTTTGATGCTTTTTTCTCCCTTTCGTCTATTTTCTGTCCTCACAAGGAGCTGTCTTTTTTTTCTCCCTTAGGATTTCACTTTTGGCTTGCTTCCCTAGCTATCTTCATTACAATACAATGCTCCTACCGGGAGAGTAACTTTATTTTAATGAGGTTTAATTGATAATTAAATACTGAAAATGAGTAAATATACTGGGAAATGAGTCTTAGATACGTGTGATATGTTTAATTCTTCTATAAATAGGGAGAAATACTTTGTTGATAAGTATAGAAGTGCTTTGCTCTCTTAATGTACAATCGGTGCTTAATTATTCATCATTCTCCAGGAATTTCTGTTAATTTGGCACCTTTGAGCTGTAGTAGTATAGTATAATTAATGTTTGTGATGCTAATCTCAAATCCTTACAGGGCTTCTAAATTAAGGAGCAATTAAACTGTTTAGTACTTTTAATGATGAAAATATCTTACTGAATTTTAGTTCTTTGAAAGCTGGTTTAGGTAGGTTAAAACCAGCATTTTTGATTTCTGGTAATACCTCTAACCATGCTGCATAATTTATTTTTATGTATTTAAGTCTTTGAGTTGTAAATTAGTAAGAACACACCTGATTTTCAAAATTTGTCTTTTTATTCCGAAAGTATAAAGTGGAAAAAAGTAGGTTACAAAACAATACATGTGGGTTGATAGTGACATTGTAAGTAATGTTTAACTATGTATTTAAAAATTGGAAAGCTGTAAACAAATGGTACAGAAATAACCTCTGGATACTAGGATTGTGGGCAATTTTATTTTTTTTGTGCTTTTCTTTCTCGTTTTTCTAAGATGAGGATATACTATTTTTGTAGAAAGAAAAAGTTATTTAAAAACAAAATATTGTTATGTTTATTAGAGAGTGAAGTCTATAACAAGAATGCATTTTGTTTAATTATCTCGTATGAAGATGTACTTTGTTTTATGGATGAATTTGTACTTCAGTAGTGTGCAAGTTTTCTGTTGTGGAGGAATATCTTTATTGCTACATCTCAAAAGCAGTCCTGTTCTACTGAGGGCACCTTGTTTGACGAAGTTTATAGCTAAATAAGACTTTTACTTTTAAAAATCCTTCCTTTTTCTGAGCAGTGGTAACCTCAGAAAGGTTCTCACCTTTCATTGCTCCTGCTCCTTTCCTTCACTCATTTTTTCATATTTGGACCATAAAACACAATGGATGTAATCTTGGGAAATGTTTATTTCACATAAAAATAAAGCTTTATTGTGAGTACATGTTTCAATCATTAATTAGAGTTGTGTTACTAAAAATTTGAATATGATCATAGTTTAAAAATACCATTTTGTGGTGAACATACTTTGGCACTAAAAAACAATTTGTGGCAAGTTGTAAATTACTTGTGCAAAACTATTTTATATAATTTATTTGCAAGAATGATAAGTTTGTGTTGAATGGATGCTTCTGGGCTCTTTTTAGCTTGCATGGTTTTGTATAAGTTGTGTATGAATTCTGTTTTAAATTGATTGATTATCTCATCTGAGATTCTGAAATTAATTTCCTTTTTTAGTAAGACACATTTTCTTAAACATTTAGGTATCTGTTCACAATGTTCTCTTCACTGAAGTCTTATTTAGAAATGATAGGAGAAAAGCAAAAAATTATGGGATACTAGAATTGTTCTTAGAATCATAGTATCTTGTAATACATCATGTTAGATCCTTGTGAGTTAACTTCTCCCTTCGAATTTCATTAATTTGAATTTAATACCTACTTTCCCCACCAAAGCCTAGCTGTGTTTAACCTGTGTTCATAGTTGATCCCAATGGTATTTAAATATATCTGTGAAGTTTTGATTTGCTGGCACTTGAATCATTAATCATCACTTTGAAAGAAAGCCATTTTTTAAAATTGATGTCTTAATAGTTTATAAAATTGTGAAATTTTGGTTGTACATTTTTATTTGTCGATCACCACATACGTCTCCCTTCACCCCTTGTGCTCACCCCCAACCCCCATTGTCCCTGGTAACCACAATACAGTTTTCTCTGTCCATGTGTTGTTTTATATTCCACATATGAGTGAGATCATATGGTGTTTGTCTTTCTCTTTCTGGCTTATTAAAAGAAAGCCATTTTTTAAACTATAATTTTGTTAACTAAAAAAATGAAGGGAGGGGCCGGCCCCATGGCTTAGCAGTTAAGTGCACGCACTCCGCTACTGGCGGCCCAGGTTCGGACCCTGGGCGCGCACCGATGCACCGCTTCTCAAGCCATGCTGAGGCCAAGGAGGATTAGCATGGATGTTAGCTCAGGGCTGATCTTCCTCACAAAAAAAAGGAGGATTGGCAGATGTTAGCTCAGGGCCGATCTTCCTCCAAAAAAAAAAAAATGAAGGGATTGTACTTGGTAAGTTTCTAAGATCCCTTTAAACTGTAAAATGAAGTGAGTATGTGATAAACTGTTTTCTCTATAAGAGGCTTTTTAGTGCCTGGTTTCTCAGACCAGATTCTTTCCTCCATGTGCCTCGGGCCATGCAAAGGTAGTTAAACTTACTTGTGTACTTCTCTTGAAGATTTGGGGAAGAGGGGACGTTTTTATATTATAACAAATGTATATTTTGAAGTAACATTACAATGAGAGAGAGAGAGAGAGTGTGTGTGTGTGTGTAAGCTAAACCAGGCGTATTCAGAGTACTTTCATCATTGTTGAAGGCAGCTTGGTCTATACCCTCAGATTCCTGAGGGAATTTGTATGTATTCTGTGCTGTTAGGGCTTCTTGGTGTGGGAAGGTGTGAGAAACTGCTTTAATGTGTGGACTAGTGTGCCATCCATAAATATTAATTATACAGTCATGCTTATTTTAGTTGAGGTTGGGGAAATAGGAATTTAATTCTTTTTTACATTTTTTAGAGGAAAATTTCAGATGTATACAAAAATAGTTGAATAGTGTATTGGTCACCCATGTAACCATCATTCAGCTTCAACAAATATCAGCTCATGCCAATCTTTAGGAATTTAATTTTATGTATATTTGCTAAGATTTTCCAAGATAAGCATCTGTAAGGTCAAGGTACTGACATCAGAAGCATTTCTGAACAAAGATGTCGCAGTTGGTGGGTGGGTACGACTGTGTTCAGCTGTTGTATAAGCTTGCATAAATAGTATCATCTTGACTTTAATCTTTCGGTTGTTCAGAGGTAGTGTGCATATTTCTGTTCAACCCCTGGAAACTTGCCAAAATAATTTGTATCCTCTCCATCCTTGGCACCTTGACTCTAAATAGTCTATGAATAAAAGCAATCAATTGATATTAGGAGCCTGTTGGATAGAGCCACTGAGAAGGAAAATCTTCATTTTCAATTAAAAAAACTTGAGTACTACCTGGTTAATATTTTGGAGCCTATAAAATATGTTTCACTTTTCATCTGTTTGGAAATACATTTTACAGAAATCAGAACATAGCATCACACAGACCTGGGTTCAAATTTCATCTGGCCTTAATTACCCTCTCTGAATCTCACTTCTTTCAAATGTAAAATGGGGATGTAGATTGTTGTGTGAATTAAATGAAATAATACATTCAATATTGATATCTTAAAATATCATTTCCACTCTGCGATTGAGTAGGAGTATGTCCTGAGTTCAAGTCTTAGATGGATTTGTGTAACTGGAGTTGAGGAGGTACTGTTAACAATTACTAGGACACTTAGAAAGGAGAGCTAATCTTTATTTTGTTGTATCATATTTCCTGACTGGTAGGTGTAAGATCTAAAGATATAATGGAAGATCTAAAGATTGAAAATGTTTCATTATGTTTGAATAAATATTATATTCAAACAAAGCATTGGAAAAACTAATGCCTTACAGTCATTTCTTATCAAATAATTACAGCAAACTCTGGCCTGTTCTATTCTAACTGCACTATTGAGTGAATTTTCAAGTTCAAGTAAAACTAGCAACATTGGACTGAGTATGGAATTCCATGGTAACTGCAAAAGAGTTTTTCAGGTATTGGTGTTTTTGTTCTTATGTTTTAATCATTAGATTGTTCGCTTTTTACTCAATCTGTTCCTAATGGAATGAGAACATTTACTTTATCTAGTTGAATGATATCCTGTACTTGAAGATTTGTGTTGTGATTTCCTAAGATATAGTAAAGTGATAGGTTTAGTGAACATAGTTGAAAATTTAAAATTACCTGTTTAATTCTAGTCTTAAAACTATAAGGACCCTTAGTTTATTTATTTTCTTATTGTGTTTGGATAGAACTAATTCAATTGGTGGGACTCTGCTGGCTTTAAAAATAGTCCTGGCAGAATGCCAAAGAGGGCTGTGTATTTAAAATGTTATTACAGATGATGTGGACTCTGTCTCATATGTATTGTTTGGCTCTGAAGTAAAGTTATGTGAAGGCATTGGTTTAAATCCCAGGGCTCTGGAGTAGAGCAACGGACTCCTCCAGCTCTGTAATAGTTGTCAAAGACTTGCTTCTCTGCAGAGTAGCATGTATATTACAGTAAATGGATTCAAACTGGTGTCACTTGAAAGCATACTGTGATCTAAATTATGAGCAGGCCTAAAAATGGAAAATGTTCTTAAAGAAATAGTGTTTTCCATTGGAAATTTTAAATTTTTGTTTTGTTTTATGGCTCTACAAGGGAATAGCATTTTGAATAAGCTTCTGATACAAAAGTATTTGTGATTTATTTACTACAGGAAGAAGACCTTCGTCAAATCTTCATGTTAACTGTTGAAGTTCTGCAGGAGTTCAGCAGGCGGGAAAACCTCAATGCTCAGATGTCTTCAGTATTTCAGCGTTACCTTGCACTTGCCAATCAAGTCTTGAGCTGGAACTTTCTTCCTCCAAATTATATCCTTTTAACAACTAAAGAGTTGGTGGTAATTTTCATAGATGACTTAATTATGGCTGAAAGTACTTTCTCTCTGCAGGTTTGTAAAACATGTTGAAAGAAAATAAGAGTCTCTTTTAGAAATGGAATTTAATTTCTTTTATGTTATAGTACTACAATGCAATGGACTACTTAGAAGATTTAAAATTTCTTTTACAACTTTGTAGAAGAGGGTTGAATAAATGGAAACATTTGGTGGATATTGAGGCTCCTGCTAACTAAGGAATAGCAGGAAGGAAAAGGAAAAAGATGGGAAGTGCATTTTTATCAAAAAACTGAATCATTTTCTCCTTGTAACATGTAATTACATTGGATTTTTTGACTGACTTTCCTTAAGGCTACTTTGGCGTTCTCAAATTTGATCTTTAAGAGATGATGATATTGTTTCAAGTGTAGATAATAAGGTAGTAATGAGTTTTTTCTTCGAAGACTTTTCCCAATATAAAAATATGAAAATTTTATTTCTAGCAATTTATTTATTAGTAATACAAAATAAGTTTAAATGGGTTATATTATAGATACAGAGTATCTGCTTTTTTATCACTTACTAAAGTGGAGAAATATGTGTGTTAGAAAGCAGTTCCTTAGTTTAAAGTTCGTAATTTGCTCTTTTGGAACATTTGCTGTCCATTGATAGATTGAAAGCAATAATATGTAGTGGCTACCCATTTGTATCGTAGTTGAGTCAGACAAATCTAGGTTTTCAAGGCTCAACTGATCTTAGGCAAATTGCTTAACCTCTCAGAGTCTCAATTTTTTCAAATATAAAATGGAGATATGGATTGTTGAGTGAATTAAATGAAACAATACATTTAAAACACTAAGGAGTTAGCTACTATTTACTGAGCTCTTAGTAGTTGCTTTGAATAAAGAAGTTCATCAGCTAGCTAGCTGTGTTAATGCTCTTTTTTTTTTTTTTGATCTGATATACTCCTTGTTGTATACGAAAAGTGATTTAACCTGTTCTAGATGTCTTTAATCAGTCTTTTCTTGGGAGCCTGCGGGAAGGGGACATCTATTTAGGAGAAGACAGATGATAAGCACACAGGAAATATTCGGCCGTATCAGAGATTTAGGATGAGACTCATCTTTATTCCAAAAGAGCCAAGAGCTGCTACATTCATATACATAGATATTCATATACATAGCTATATAGATAGCTAATTATTTGTGGCTGGTAAAATTGTGGGATTTTAAGGCGGTAGAGTGTAACTTTTTCTTCTATTGCCAGGCTAATACTATATTCATATAATAGAAAATTAACTGTAGAATGCTGTATAGGGTAGTGCATCTCTGACTCAAACTTTGAGTTCTCCGGTTTTCTTTCCCAAAGGCAGTCATGGTGAGCTGGCTGCTTCTCGAGGAAAAGCTTACAGTGAGATTAATCACTTTCTCCTTTTATCCCTAGTCTCTAGTCATCTTTCTCCTGATCAATTTTATATCTTCAATATATTCTTGGTTGTTAGGAGGTACATATTTTCGTAGGTTTGCTTTTTAAAAAATTTCTCTTTTGAGTATTTGCTCCAGTTTTTGTTAGTAAAAAAAAAAAAGAAAGATGTTGCAAAACTTTGAGACAGATTTAAAAAGTAACAGGCCATATGGAACTATCAAAACATTAATTATATATGTAGGGAAAATCAGTGAAAGTTATGCTGCATATATTGTAGCCAATTTTAAAGTCTCTGTTTTAAGGGAAAATGTAGTTGGCTGAAGAGTGACTATTTTGTAAAAGGAAACAGTGCTCTGGGAGTTTGGAAACAGAGTTTGTCTACAGATACACACACATACGTATTTTTATACAGTGTTTAGATAAAGCTTTGGAAAACGTGCCATCTAAAAATGATAAGCACTACTACAGTGTTGCCAAAGGAAATAATTCCTTGTTTAAGGAAAAGTAGATCGTGATCTTGACTTTTTGGATTACAAGTGAGTTCTTATATGACTGTAGATGTTTATATAGTAGCCAGTTGTTGGCTAATGAACTAGAGTTAAGTATTCCTACCTTTAATTGGATTAGCTTTAAATGTAGGAGAAAGAATGTGGCAATGGAATTAAACTAAGCTACATTTTCAGTGTTAATTAAGGAAATTAGTTTCAAGGGACCCAATTCTGACATAATTTCTAATTTTGGCAATTACTTGGAGATCTCCTATTCAGTCAATGGGGAAGGAATTGAATAATAATTGTTTAGCTTTGTACTTTGAAGAGGGTCTAATGTTCAAATTTATTTATTTTTATTTTTATTTTTTTTTGTGTGAGAAAGATCAGCCCTGAGCTAACATCCATGCCAATCCTCCTCTTTTTGTTGAGGAGGACCTGCCCTGAGCTAACATCTATTGCCAATCCTCCTCCTTTTTCTCCCCAAAGCCGCAGTAGATAGTTGTATGTTGTAGTTGCACATCCTTCTAGTTGCTGTATGTGGGATGCCGCCTCAGCATGGCCAGACAAGCGGTGCCTTGGTGCGTGCCTGGGATCCGAACCCAGGCCGCCAGTAGCAGAGCACACGCACTTAACCGCTAAGCCATGGGCCCGGCCGCTCTAATGTTTACATTTAACTTAGCTAATATATATTAAGTTGATGTCTTTTTAGAAAATGATTTGTCTTTTAGGATAGATGAATAGCCAGTAGACCTTGTAAAAATGTGTTGTGTGTTTTGTATCAAATATATTTGATCATTTGGAATGGTATCAAGTTAAATTATCAATATCAATCCCTATTCATATTTGTTTTGTAATCTGCTTTCTTTTTTGTATCTTTTATTTTGATGTAATTTTAGACATACAGAAATACCACAAAAGTGATTGAAAGAATTGCCATATGCCCGTTACCAAGATTCACCAACTGTTAACATTTTGTCCCATTTATTATTCTCTCTCTTTGCCTGCACACATATGTGTGTGTTTGTCTATAAACACATTTTCTTCCTGAACCACGTGAGAGCAGTTGCAGATGTTACACCTGTTTACCTCTGAGTACTTCACCACGTTTTCCTGGGATCAAGAATTTTGAAATTGCACCGCGATTCTTATAGGAGGATGTCTTATAAAACTATAGTACAGTTTTCAAAATCAAGAAATTTAATGTTAATATAATATTATCTGAAATATAGTCCATATGCAAATTTTGTCAGTTGTCTCAATAATATCCTCTGCAGCTATTTTCAATACATTGTATTTAGTTGTCCTGAGTCATCTTTGACCTAGAACAGTTCCTTAGCTTTTCTTTGTCTTTCACTAACCTGACAAGTTTGAAGTGTATGGGTCTATTACTTTTTAAAATGTCCCTCAGTTTGGGTCTCTCTGATGTTTCCTCATGATTAGATTCAGGTTTTTCCTTTTTTTTTTTTTTTTTTTTGTAAGAATACTATAGTGGTGATATTGTGTCCTTCTCAGTACTTTATGTCAGAAGGCACATGATGTCAGTTTGTCCCATTTAGGGGAGTGTTCACTTTGATCACTTGGTTAAGGTAGTGTTTGCCAAGTTTAGTTTTTCCAGTGTAAAGTTGCTGTTTCTTTTTGTAATTAATAAGTGATTTCTAATATTATACTTTAAGGCAATAAATATCCTGTTCCTCCTAAAAGTTTCAACCATTAGTTTTAGCATCCGTTGGGGATTCTTGCCTGAATCAGTTATTATTATGATAGTTGCAAATTGGTGATTTTCTAATTCCATCATTTCCCTTTGTGTTTATTTGCTGGCATTCAGCCGTAAAGAAGAGATTTTCCTTCTTCCTCATTTATTGATTAATTAATTTGTGTCAGTATTGACTCACGGATTCTGATTCTTTGGAATGGATTGTAATCTGTTGCTATCATTATTATTTTGGCGCCCAAATTGTTCCAGTTTTGGCTCCTGCCAGCTTACTTCTGTGTCCTTTTGATTTGTCCCACTATTCGAAGTGTTAACTGAAACAACTAAGGTTAAATTTTTAGGAATGAATGGTTTATTTTAGATGTTCTATGAAGAGTCCACTCTATTTAAAAGTTTGCTTTTAAATGTTTAAAAATTTAAAAAATTGACCTCCCTTAAAGATAATCTCTGTGTAGAAGCACTGTATCTGTGCCTATTCTCTAGGTAGTTTTCATTGCAGTGATAATTGGCTATTTTTGTGTGTGTGTGCGGGAGATTGGCCCTGAGCTAACATCTGTTGCCAGTCTTCCTCTTTTTGCTTGAGGAAGATGGTCCCTGAGCTAACATCTGTGCCAGTCTTCCTCTGTTCTGTTTATGGGTTGCCGCCACAGCATGGCTTGATGAGCGGTGCACAAGTCCGCGCCCGGGATCCGAACCTGCAAACCCAGCAGAACATGCAAACCCGACCAGTACGCGACCGGGCTTGCCCCTTGGCTATTTTATATAACTTTGTTGAGATGTATTTCACATACCGTAGTATTCAGCCATTTAAAGTGTATAATTCAGTAGTTTTTAGTGCAGTTTTTAGTGCATCACTGTCATTAATTTTAGAACATTTTCATCACCCCAAGAAAGAAGCCCTGTATCTATTAGCGGTCATTCTCCATTGCCCCCAAACTCCCCAGCCTGTGACAATCACTAATCTCCTTTGTGTCTCTATGTTATTTACCTATGCTGGACATTTCATATAAAGAGAATCATATAATATGCAGTCTTTTGTGACTAGTTTCTTTCACTTAGTGTAATGTTTTCATGATTCATAATGTTTTCAAGATTCATCCATGTTGTAGCATGCATCAGCACTTTATTCCTTTTTATTGCCACAAAGTATTCTTTTGTAAAGTCTGTATCACATTTTTATTTATCTGTTGATCTGTTGATTGACAGTTGGGTTGTTTCAGCTTTTTGACTATTAATGAATGATGCTGCTGTGAACATTCATGTATAAGTTTTTGTGTGGACTTAACATGTTCGTTTCTCTTGGATATACCTAGGATGTACCTAGGAGTGGAATTGCTGGATCATATGGAAAGTCTATATTGAATCTTT